ACACACAGGCACCAACACAAACCAGGCACGACACACCACACACACACACAGGCACAGTAACACACACACACACACAGGCACACACACACACACCACACACAAAAAAGGCCCCCCCCCCCACACACACACACACACAGGCCAGCACACACCACACCAGGCTACATCACACACAACACACAGGCACCACACAACCACACACACTGAGAGATGATTACACACACATAATCGCAACACACACATCAGCACACACAGACACACACTGATGTGATCCACACACATACAGAAAGAACAACACACAAAAACAGGGCCACACACCACACACACAGGCACACACACACAACACGTAGGCACCCCCCCACACACCACACAGCAACACAAACATCAGTTCTGAATGGAACCACACAGAAGCGACACCACACACACGACCGACATCTTGTGAACACACAGGCACACACACCACACACACACACAGGCACCACACACACAGCACACACACACAGTAGGGGCACACACACACACACACATCAACACAACAGGCACACACTACACACACACACACACAACCACACACACACACACACACATTAGCACACACACACACACACACCACCACACACACACACACAGGCACACCACACACACACAGTTTCAGGCACACCACACACAACAACACACACACACCATTTTTAATGGTAGGACCAGAAGCACACTGCACACACACAGGCACATCACACATCACACACAGGAGCAAACAACACACACACAGAGGCAACACACACATCACACACAGGCACACACACTCATCACCTCACTCACTCACTCACTCATCACTCAACTCACCACACACACACACACACCACACATATTTATGTAGATCATACCACAGTTTCCACACACACCACTAACTAGCACACCACACCACACACCCAGAGATTATGAGGTAATCACACACAACACACACACTCACAGGCACATCATGTTGACACTGCACACTCACCAGGCACAACACACAACTCACAACTGTACAGGCACACACACCACACTCACACTCACAGGCAACACAACCAACTCACAGGCACGCACACAAACACACACCACACACATTCAACACACACACAATACACACACAGCACTACGAGCACCACATCACGATCAGCACATCACACACACACCACACATACTCACTCACAGGCACACACACACACATCAACACTACAGGCACACACAAACACACACACTCAACCAGGCACACACCACACACACTCACAGCACACACACACACACTCACAATGCCGATAACATTATATCGGCTTAATAATATTAGGAACACATTATTGATCTCCCTCACAACACCACAAAGCACCACACACAAAGACCGCACACAGGCACACCACACACTCACGGCACGACCCACAGACACACTCACCAGGCACACACACACAGCAGGAATGCACACACACATCTGCACAGGAATGCAACACTCACACACTCACAGGCAGCACACACACATCACTCACAGGCACCACACACCCCAGCACTCATACAGGCACATCACACACTATCACAGGCACCACACACACACACACACACATATACACCACACACAACCACACACACCTTCACACACAGCATCACACCACAGGTAAACACACCATCAACACTCACACACACACACACAGCCTCGACAACTACATGGCAACGACCACACACACATACTCACAGGCACACCACATACCATCTCACAAGGTCACACACGCATACCACTTCCAGCAGGCACAACACACACACACACCACAGGCACACACACACACACTCACAGGCAACACAACACACAACTACACAGGCACACACACACACACTCACAGGCACACCAGGCACACTACACACACACTCAGGCAGCATACACACAGGTCACACACATCACAGGCACATACCACACCCACACACTCAACTAGGCACTACATACACACTCACAGGCACACATTACAATGTTGCACATAGCCACACACACACTCACAGGCACAAGCACACACACACACTCACAGACACAGCACACAACACACTCACAGGCACATCACTCACAGGCTCACACACACACACACACACACGCAAGGCTCACACACACACACACTCACTAAGGCTCACACACACACACACACACACTCATCAATTAATTCACCGGCACCACTGCACATGCACACACACACCCATACACGCAGCGCAACACACGCGGACAGTACGCTACATAAGGCATAACACGGCACGCGACGCAATTGATAATACACGCAATCACACCACGCACATGCCCACCCACACAGGTTCACACACATGCACAACAACACAAGCAGCACACAAACACACACAACACAACAACACACACATCGTTACCACACACACACACACACACACCACACACACAGTCACAAAACACAGCACACACACACGCACAGGTTCACACATATAACCAAACAGGCACACATACACTCACATTCACAGGCACACCACACACACACACACACATACACATCACACACACATTCACACACACACTTCACAGGTACTCTCAGACAAGCAACACATACACTCACATAACAAACCCAGTTTTTGTATGTATTATTCTACTAGTTCTCTGTTTTGAATAATTTCTTGTAACAGCTAACAAAGAAAAAATATACAAATATATATATATATATATATATATATATATATATATATATATATATATATATATATATATATATAATTATATTTTTATTATTATTATTATTGATTTTTAATGGAGAGGTATCAGCTATAATATATTGGAAATGTAGTCTATCATTATCACTGTCAATAATTAATTGATTATTATTTTAATTATTTATTATCTATTTATTATTTATTATATATTTTTTCTCTCTTTTAAGTATTTGGGAAGGCAGCTAATATTCTTTCATTTATTTTCATTGGGGCTACAGACTTTGTACATATGCATATTTGCATTTTCTCACAGTCTCTCTCTCTCTCTTCTCATCTCTCTCTCTCTCTCTCTCTCTCTCTCTCTCTCTCCTCTCTCTCTCTATCTCCTCTGCCTCATCTCTCTCTTGTCTCTCGTCTCTTCTTCTCGTTTCTCTCTCTCTCTCTCTCTTCTCTCTCTCCATCTCTTTCTCTCTCTCTCTTTCTCTCTCTCTCTCATCTCTCTTTCCTCTCTCTCTCTCCTCCCTCGCTCTCTCTCTCTTCTCAATCTCTCTCTTCTTTCTCTCTCGTCTCTCATCCTCCCTCCCTCTCTCTCTCTCTCTCTCTCTCTCTCTCTTCCTCTCTCTCTCTCTCTCTCCTCTCTCTCTTCTCTTCTCTCTGTCATCTCTTCTCACTCTCTCTCTCTTCTCACTCTCTCTCTCTCTC